CTTGCTCCAGAAACCCAGGAAAATTGAAGGTAAGTATATTGTTTTAATGCAGGAGTGGGCAAATGTTAGGGCTTCGGGGCTGCATTGTCCCCCAAGGGACATTGGAGAGCCGTAAGCATCCCATGATGCAAATCCCTAAAAAAATTGGGAGATGTTTTGCTCCAGATCCCTTCCAGCAACTCTAAAGGTGAGGGTGGGCAATTTCTCCATTTTTATGCCCGTGCTGGTCCATTTTAGGGTCAGGAGAGGCCTTTTCCCCCTATAGGAAGTGGCCTAGTAGTCAATTTCTTGCTAATTTCCTGCTTGGGGAAAATATGGAGAAGGAGAAATTTCCCCATAGCCCTAGGGAGCATTTGTGGCAAATTAATTTTTGGGAAAACAAATCTGGCCCTTGGGAGTCACAAAAATTGCCCTGGGAGAGTCATATGCTTGGTGTAATGGATGTGTCCTATACTCTCTAATGGTGTTGGGCAATGTCACAGTTTGTGCTTGTTTGCAACTTACTTTTCACGGTCTTTCAGACACACATTCAGATGAGGAGAATGGCATGCCCTGGTCCATGCAAAATTCCCCTTCAAAAGTCCATCGTTGACTTAAGAGCATCTTAATCTAACTGTGTTGCTAAAGGAACGCTCCTGTGAGTTAATCCTGTTTTGTTTTTTGTTTACCTGTAGCTGCTGGTGGTGGGGAGTACTGAACAGTGGGAGATAGCTGTCCCCTCTGATGGAGGAGGATAGGAACGGCACTGCTGCTAATGACTTTGGGGTGTGGTACTTACAGCTATGTGTTTCTGGCATCACTGGCTGGTGTCAAATCAGGTTTTAAAAATAATCTACTAACTTAGATTTCTAAACGAAACATCAAGACATGGTGTATCTTGCCAGTATGTGAGTGGGTGGGTGGAAAACATATTCAGAGCATGATTGTGTTGCCTAATAATTATGTAAAACTGAGTGCCATATCCCTCTAAAAAAATCTCAAGTTAGATATCTGAGCTCATATCCTCTCTGTTGTGATGTAGTATATGGAAGGTTCAAGTTGAAGGAAATACTTGACATGTTGGAAGAGCATACTCTAAGAAGCACATTGACAAGTTAGAACATATCTGTAAGAGGGTGACCATGAAAGTAAAATGTCTGGAAACCAAGATCTATGAGGAACAGCTTAGGGAGCAGGATATTTTTAGCTTCAAAAAGAGTAGACTAAGAGGTGATATGATGGCCATATAAATACTTGAAAGGATGATCTGTATGAATTCACTTGCACAGAGATCCTTGAGAGTGATCAGAACAGACCAGTTGAAGAAAGAAATAAAAACAGCATTGTGTTAGGAGTGTACTACAGGCTACCGAAACAAGAAAAGGTGGTGGATGATGCTTTTCAGAAACAAAACTTAGAACTCTCAAAAATGCAAGAATTATTAGTTATGGGGGACTTCAGTTACTCTGATATCTACTGGGAGACTAAGGACCTCTGCAGACCGGCCCAAAGGCCTGGCCTGGAAGCAGAGTTGGGGCAGGGCAGCTGCACACTGGCTGCCCCAACTCCACACCAATGCCGTCCTGACGCCATGCACCGTTATGCACAGTGTGCAGCATCAGGACGCCCTTCCGGTGCAGCGTTCAAACACACTGCACTGAAAAGGGTGTTGAAGAGTCGTGCACCGGCTCTTAGAGCGGCCTGTTGCCACCCCTAAAAGGAGTGGCATTTTGCTGTTCTTTTTGGGGTGGAAAAAGGAGGATCGGGGCCATGGCGTGGGGTTGCTGTGGCCCCGATCTGCTGCCTCCCAGGGCGGCCCAGAGCCACCCGTCTGCAGTCCCCCTAATTCTGCTAAGCATAGACTATGTGAGAGATTCCTGATGTGCCTTGCAGATAATTCCATACTTCAAAAGACAGAAGAAGGAACAAAGGGATCATGGACTTGATCCTAAGCAACAGAGAGGAGTTGGTCACTGGAATCAAATTATCAGCACCTTAGGGGGAAGTGACCCTGTAGTGCTAGAACTCACAATTGTGGGACAGGACAAAGAAGAGTATATTCACAGATGGACCTTGAATTTCTAGAAAGCCAGTTTTAACAAGATCAGGGAACAATTGAGCACAATCCAATGGCTAGAGATGCTAAAGGGAAAGGGGAAAAAAACATCCAGCAAGGATGGTAGTTCTTGAAGAAGGAGTTACAAAAAACACAATCACAAGCAATCCCATGGAAGAGGAAAACCAGGAAACACCAGAAAATCCATTGCGGCTGCACAGAAAACTCAAGGAAGAGGTTAAAGTAAAAAATAGAGCATGTATAAAGAATGAAAGGAAGGTGAATCACCAAGGAAGAGTACAGATGTGTAGTCCAAGCTTACAAGAATAATAGAAAGAAAGCTAAGGCTCAGAATGAGCTGTGCCTGGGTAGGAAAGCAATCAGCAATAAGAAGGGGTTTATTAGGAGCCCTGATGGTTAAATTCTGGTATGGCAGCCAAAATGTTGTGAATTCAATCCTGTAAGGCTCCCGGTTGATTCAGCCTTCCATCTTTTTGTAGGTCAGTAAAAAGAATAGCCAGGTTGTTGGGGGCAATTGTCTAACACATTGTAAACAGCTTAGAGAGTGTTCATATAAAGTGGTATAGAAATGTAAGTGCTATTGCTATTAGATCCATTTGAGGCAAGAGAATGCCAAGGAAACAGTGGAACCACTGCTCAGTAAGGATGGCAAAATACTAAATCACAACTGAAGGGCAGAACTGCTCAATATTTTTTTTAGCAATATGCTTCCTTGCATCAGCAGAGACCTTGGCAAGAGGTCTGGATTTCAAATTGATACTGACAAGGAGATAGTCAAGGAGTCATTTTGCTGATGTAGTTTCTGGACCATTTGCCATCATTTCTGAGAAATCTTAGATAACAGGTGAGGTTTTAGAGGACTGGAAATCGAGATTTGACAAGGAGATCGTCAAGGAGTCACTTTGCTGATATATAATCTTGGAGAACAGGTGAGGTGCCAGAGGACTGGAGAAGGGCAAACATTGTCCCTTTCTTCAAAAACAACAAAAATTAGATCCAGAGAACTACTAACTAGTCAACTCAACCTCAATACCGGGAAAAATATTAGATTGGATTATATAGGAATCTGGTTGTAAGTATCTTGATGATTATGCCAGCATAGGTTTGTAAGAACCAATCATGCCAAACTAACCTGATACCTTTTTTTGATCAGGTTAGTAATTTAGTAGGTGGTGGGAATGCTGCAGATGTTGTTTATCTGGATTTCAGTAAAGTCTTTGATACAGTCCCCTATGATATTTTGATTAGCAAACTGAATAGATAGGGCCACTATCAGATGGATCCATACATGTTCAAAGAGTCATAATCAATGGCTGTACTTCAAACTAAAGGGAAATCTTGAGTAGAGTACCACAGGGTTATGTCCTGGAGCTGACACTTTTCAATATTTTTTTAACCAATGATTTTTTTAGGTGATAAGTTGGAGGGAAAGCTTATCAAGTTTGCGAGTGGTACAAATATGGAAGGGGTAACTAACCAACTGGAAGTTAAGAACAGAATTCAAAAGGCCCTTAATAAATTAAAAAAATGGACTGAAACCAATAGAATAAATTCAACAGAGACAAATGCAAAAGTCTACATCGAGGTCACAAAAACCAAATGTACACTTATAGGATAGGGGATACTTGCCTTAGTAGCAGTACATATGAAAAGGACTTTGGGATTTTTGTTGATTGTAAACTGAACACAACCCAATAGTGCAATGCTGTAGCAAAGAAGGCCAATAATATATTATCCTGCATTAATGGAACTATAGTTTCCAATACAAGAAAATTAATAGTCCCACTGTTTTCTGTACTAGTTGGACCTCATCTGGAGTATTGCGTTCAGTTCTAGGCCCTTCATTTTAGGAAGGATATAAACAGATTGGAGCAGATTTAGGGAAGGGTGACAAGGTTGATAAGAGATGTGGAGAAAAGGTTGAAGGAGCTGGGCATGTTCAGCTTGATGAAAAGAAGACTGGCGGTTACATGATTGCACTCTTTAAATATCTCAAGGGTTGCCACAGAGAGGAGGTGCAGTTTGTTCACTGCTGTGATAGATCTAGGTCTAATGGTTTTAAGTTAGAAGATGGTAGATTTTGATTGAACATCAAAAGGAAGTTCTTGACAGTAAAGAGGTTTTGGACAATGGAACCAGTTACTTAGAGCAGTGGTGGGGTTTCTTTCTCTGGACATCTTCAAACAGAGGCTAGCCAGCTGGAGCTGCTCTGTCTGGATTCCTTACATTCAGTGGGGATTAGACTCAGTGGTTTATGGGACCCCTTCCAACTCTGTGATTGTATGATATGAAGAAGGTAGAGCAAGCTTGTTTTTTGCTGCTCCAGAGATTAGAACACAAACCAATGGATTCAAATTAGAAGAAAGGAGATTCCACCTAAATATTAGGAAGAATGTAAGAACTTTTTGAGAGTGGACTAGATTGCCTTGTAAAGGGGTCGACTCTCCTTCTTTGGAGGATTTAAAAATGAGGTTGGATGGCCATCTTTCAGGAATGCTTTAGTTGTGAATTCCTGCATAGTAGAGGGTTCAACTAGATGGCCCTTGTATGCCCTGCTACCCCTTTTGTTCTGTGAACCCTCAACACTTATTTTGAATTACAGCACTTCACTTTCCAACCTGTTTTATCTCCACCAAATATTTGTTTTCAACACAGCCAGAGATGTCTTCTGCCAGTATACCTTCTGGTGAAAAATCTTCACAGAGTTAATGAAATATATTAATTCCATTCATTGTGTTGCAGTTCCACATCCACAATAAGAAACTTGGATTCTCATGTCATTTGGTGCCACACAAAAACTACTCTGTTTGAGCCCCCATAGCCATGGTGCCCTGTCTTGAACAATTCTAATGTTCATGCTTAGTTGTATATCTTGACATTTTAGGATCTTTTCTAGTTCTTTCATAGCTGCCCTCCCAATTCTTAGTCTTCTTATGGAAGACTAGCCAGTGTGACATAGTGGTTTGAGCATTGGACTGTGATTCTGGAGACTAGGGTTTGATTCCCAGCTCAGCCATAAAACCCACTTCGGCAAGTCACATGCTCTCAACCTCTGAAGAAGGCAATGGAAAACCTCTTCTGAACAAATCCTTGCAAGAAAACTCCATGATAGGATTACATTAGGGTCGACATAAGTCAGAGACAACATGAAGGCACATAACAACAACAACAACAGCAGCAGCATCATTACCATGCTGGAAATCCCACCAAGCAGTATTTGAAATGGCTTTCCTGCAAACTTATATGATACACAGCATTAGCTGACAGTAGCTATCATTCCATTATAAAGCTCACCCTGGTGTTTCTCCTGTTGCTCTTCCACCTTTTCTAGGAGTGTAGAAAGTCTAGTTCTTTTGAAATGGGCAAAAAAGACATGAATACCCTTAAGACTACTCATTCAGCTTTCCATATGTGCAATGACTTTTAAGGGGTTGAGTCCTGTCACCTGCTGTTATAATGTACAAACTCCAAAATCTCTCTTAGTGTGGAAATCTATTGAAATTCTACTTGTAATTTACATTGGAAAGGTAATGCATTTGTAGCAATATCTGAAAATATACATGGGCTCATTCTCTGGAAAAATGCTTATCCTCTTTAGCAATGGAAAGGAAGTATGTAGGAATATGCAGATCAGAGTAAGTAATATTGTGTGAGTAATTAGAATTCTGAACATTCATTAAAAAATCTTTCCAAATCCTCATAACCTTTTATGTTTAATCCTCATTTGAAAACAGCTCTCAAGTTATTCCTTTTTATAGCATTTCTAATATTCTTCAGTCTCAGTGAAATGCTGCCCTTTAAGTGCAGTGTGCTTGTTCCATGTTTAGGGATTAAACAACAATGATAAAATAATTAATATACTACCGTAATCTTGATGATTCTCTGCACTCAAAAGCAGCTCCATTTTAACCACTATGGTTGCACGTTTAGAGTGACTGTGCAGAGAATTAAGACTCTTCTTTCCTAATACTAATAAAGAGAAATAAAGCACTGATTTCCCCCACCATCATCCCCCAAATCATTCCTCCACTGAGAAGGATAATTAGATCAGATGGGAAATGGTAGGAACACTTCTCCACCACCTCACACATTTCCCTAATTTTTGCATTGCATTATGCAGTCTTTTAGCTACTGTAATTCATACACAGTTGTCAGGACAGTGATGTTGCTTCCTTTCTCCCAATTGTCTTCAGGATATCTGCTGTCGTAAGAAGAAACAACACAGTGGGGGAAGAAAGGCGAGTATCTCAGGATTTCTTGACACATCATGCCAGCATATTTTTCATTAGTGCTACTGGCAGGAGGACTTGACTCAACAACTCCAAAGGGATTAAAGAACAATCTTTTTGCTGTAAAAACAAATCAAATCATCCAACTTTTTTTTTTAAAGAGAGTAAATTCTTTTAAAGACACAGATGGCAATTGGCAAACTATTTTTTTCTCCAGCCTTGGGGGGTGGCTGGGAGTAGGGGATGCTCACTGAATTTCAAGTGACAGCATTTTGAAATATCCTGAATAATGCACAAAACACCGACTGTTTGCAGCCATAAGATTCATAAATCAGTAGGGATTGTGTGTTGTAAAGAGGCTTAAGACTATGAAGTTTTCTCTCTGTCTTTTTCATGCATTCAGTGAAGGAACACTGAACACAATAGGATAACGGCAGTCTCTTTCCAGAATTATTTGTTGCTAATTGCCATCAAGTTGCTTTTGATTTATGAGGCTGTGAATGAGAGACCTCCAAGACAACCTGTTATTAACAGTCCTACTAAATTCTTGCAATGTCAGGGCCAGGGCTTCCTTAATTGAATCCATCCACCTGTAGCACCCTCAAAATGGCACTACCATTCCACAGTGCTGGGATTGGGTGCTCCTGTAAGCCAAGAGGCTACGCCTATGGCAGCAGTGTTGCTAGTCAGGTCTTCTATGTCAGACTTTTGCTAAATGTGCTAAACAGCTACTGGGCAGCAGCAGTACTGGAGGGTGACACTGGTGGAGCATCTTTGAGAGACAACAACAGTGGCACTATAGCTAACACTTGTTAGTATTGTGCAGAAGGAGGCACTGGTAAATTCCCTTTGAATATCTTTGTGGGACAGACCATGATCTGTCCCACAAAAATTAGACTAAACCTAGAAAACACTCAACCAACCATCATGCTAAAATACAACCTGAAGAACATCCTCATAGAATTTAAAGCTAATGTTTGTTGTTGGTATTTTTTTTTTAAGATTTTCATGATTAAGCCTAATTGACTGGGAGCCAGAAGAACTCTGGATTGAAGCCAGAGTCATTTTCAGGGAGGAATGCAAAAAGACATTATCTTTAGCCAAAAAGAGAAGCCCCAATGGATAAGAGATTAAACTCTTCAAGCAGTTAACGACAGATGAGAAACAAATTTAAAGGGGACAGCATTAGGGTCAGAACCCTGACTGCAACTGTTCAGTGACTTGTGTGTAGGGACAAAGAGAACTAGTATAATAATCAGTTCAGAAACAAACAGAAGATGACAACAACAAAGGAAGAACAAGAGACCTTTCCCACAAGATCCAATACATCAAAGGGAAATTTAAACCAAGAATTGGGATGTTCTGTTACCAGCGGAGGCAACATGACCAATTAAAAATGAAAAACAACAACAACAATGGAAACAATACACTGAAGAGCTACATAAAGGAAGAGAAAAAGTGGCAGATTCATTCAAGGAGGAACCATTTGAAGATGAACTTACAGTCTTACAAATGCAAGGCTGTATTTTATCACCATGTCTCTTTAATTTGTATGCTAAATGTATCATACATAAAGCAGGATAAGACTTGGAGGAAGGAGGCATGAAAATTCGAGAAAAGTGCATCAGCAATTCTAGACATGCAGTTGACACTATACTACAGATATTATGAACTGCTAAAAAGACAAATAAGTCAATATTAGAGGAAAGCAAGTTTGGAAGCCAAGATAACCAAACTGAGACTGTCATGCTTCTGACATATCACGAGAAGACATGAGACCAGAAAAGGCAATAAATGCTTGGTAAGGTAAAAGATAGCAAGAAAAGAGGAAGAACAAATTACAGGTGGATAGACTCACACAAAAAAGCCACAGCCCTGAATCTGCAAGACCTGAGCAGGGCTATTGATGGCAGGATGACTTGGAGGTCTCTTGTTCATAAGGTCTCTGTAAGTTGAAGTCAGTTTGACAGTAGTAACTACAACAACAACCCTGTAATGCTTACTGTCTTCCTCTTTTCTTACTGCCTTCCATGTTACCAAGCATTATTGTCTTTTCTAGCGAGTTATGTATTTTCATGATATGCCCAAAGTGCAATATTTGTCTTTCTGGCAGTCCATGGTATCTGTAGAATTCTTCTCCAGTACCACATTTCAAATAAATTGATTTTCTTCCTGTCAGTTTTCCCAGCCATACATAGAATTGGAAATAGTGTGACATGGGCAATCCTAACTTTAGCATTCATTGTCATATTTTTATGCTTGAGGCTCTTAGGTAATTCCTTCAAAGCTGCCCTTCCAAGTCCTACTCTTCTTCTGATTTCTTGACTGCAGTCTCTGTTCTGATTTATGACTGAGACAAAACATACAACATCTTTTAACTATGTTGATATCTTCATCATCCACTTTAAAATTATGTAAATCATTTATGCATCTGAGGAAGTAGACTGAGGTCTACGAAAGCTCATGCTACCAATTTCTTTCTTACAGTTAGTCTCAAAAGTGCTACAAGATCTCTCTATGTACTGATTATACAGACTAACATGGCTATATCTTTTAAGTAAATCATTTATGATCATTATTTTTGTTTTCTTAATGTTCAGCTGCATCCCTGCTTTTGCATTTTCTTCCTTGACATTCCCTTAATAGTTGTTCCAAGTCTTTCCTGTTTTCTGCTATGATGTCAAAATATGCAACATAAATTTATTTAGTGAGTGCAAAATTGGGCCAACATGGTCAGTTGATTACTGGACAAAGTTTGCACAGCTTGCAGCTTTTGTCAGTCTACCATAGCCACTAAAAATCTGCACAGTTGTAACTTTTAATTTAAAAAATACTTCTCTAGGTAAGATCAGGGCTAGAGCGAAGTTAGCCAGTGAACCTTATGAATTGGTGGAGACAATGGTTGTACAAGGAAAGAATCTTTTGGTTGAAATGGAGAAAAATGAAGTGTGGTGTGTGTTCTATGTGTGGAGTCTGGGGAAAAGTAAACATATTGGTTCACTAACTAGCGAGGTCAGTGAAATACTGACTGCCTGACAACCCAAAGAAGTCTTAGATGAATGGAAAGAGATAGTGGAAAACTTAAAACTGAATAAAAAAAATGAATAAGTAGGCAAAATATGTGGAACCATTCTGCTATTCAGTTTGAAGTAGTATGGTTCAGAATTCAGTGTGATGTGTGAAATGGCTCTTAGGTCCCTTATTGTAGATGAGCTACAAAACAGAATGACTGTACATTGTACACAGAGCTCATTTATTTATTTATTTATTTATTCCATTTATATCCCACCTTTCTCCGCAGAGGGACCCAAGGCAGCTCACAGATAAAACCTTTAAAACTGCAATAAAATTCAAAACAATCAAAACATCTATGTCCAATATAAAATCACATAAAATATACATAAGTTAAAAACAAACTAAAAACCCACCTGCTCCATAAAACCGCCCTGCTGTGCATTATCTACAGAAAGCCTACCGGCATAAAAATGTTTTTACTAGCTAGCGAAAGGCCAGCAGGGAGGGGGCCAGCCTAGCCTCCCGAAGAAGGAAGGGCATTCCAGAAGGTGGGAGCAACCACCAAGAAGGATCTCTTTGGCTGAAGGGGCAGAATACCAATCTGATATGTAGGTAGCTCTAGACATTTATATTTTATTTGTCAGGAAGCTTATTTAAGAAGGATTTTTAAAAGTCTTATTATCTCAAAGGCCAGATTAATTCACACATCTTATTCGTACCCAGCGGTATTATTCAGCTGGTTTGCCAGAACCGTTTAAATTAACACAGAGAT